TTGTTAGGAGGTAGAACAAGAGGGTTCGGGACGGCGGCCCCAACACCCCTCATGAGACACCACATGATGCTGAAGCCAGCTTCAGAGCAAGAACGCACCTGAGAGCAGAAGGGCCAACCAGTCAAGGGGACTGCTCATTGCTCTGTTTCCAGCTCCAGGACGGTACCCAGAACCAGCATTTAATATCTGAAGACCCCATGGATGTGTATGCTGAGTGTCTATGAAATCTCCTTCTGTTTCTGAGCAAGGCTGTTGCTAAGCTGCCCAGGCTATCTAAACAATCCTAGAGTTAGGGACTCCAGCCTAGCTTTGAACTCGTGTTAGTCCTGTTGCCACACCTGGCAGGAAAGCTCCTGAATTTGTTGGACTCAACCCCATAAGAAGATTCCACAGAGTACCCAGTTCTGCTCTAAGGAAAAAAAAAATACATGGTCAGAAAATGGCTGAATAATTTAGATGACAGTGCAAACTTAAGTGAGAAAAATAAAACATGTTTTTGATGGTCAGCAAAGTCTAACAGGGGTAGCAGTGAGGAGAGAAGCAGAGGCAGAAGCATGATCTTCAATGAGCTCTTAAATGTCTTTCTGTAAGAATTGCCCTGCAGGCCCAGAAGGTGAGCCTCATAAGGTTTCCCTCTAAATAAGCACATTATGGTGTTTTTGCATAGGGCATGGTGACCACAGTTGATAGTGAAATCTGCAATATTAACTCCCTCTTTCTATGGAGTGAATCACACCTACACAATACTCATTTATCATCTCAGTTTCTGTGGGTCAGAAATCTGAACACGGCTTAGCTGAATGACCTTGCATGGGTCTCTCACAACAATCAACCTAGGGCTGGAGTTGACTCAACTCAACTTGGGAAGAATCCTCTCTCAAGGTCATTCATGTGGCTGTTGGCAGACCTCAAGTCCTCATCGGCCTTTCCCAGAGACACCAGTTCCTTCCCATGCCAGTCTCCACAGAGCACCTTGTAGCACTGCAGCTGGTTTTCATCAGAGTGAGCAGGAATAGACAAGGGGAGCCTGAGGTCTGCCAGCACTCCACGGCTTTACCATGTTCCCATTGTCCCTCAGCAGCAGGCTTGATAGTACACTGGAATGACCTTTCGAAAATTCAGTTATGATGTCTGCTAGGTGAAGCATCTGGGGGAGCTGAAGCAGTGTCCTCGAAGCAGTGTTAATATATAGAGCCATTCACTTTTGATCTAGGAATGAAGGAACAGAAGTGGGATGAACCTCTAATGGTTACCTCTAATGATCTACTAATAAAACAGCTGCTTCCACTGCTGACTCCAGGCCCTTCTGCTCTAAGGTACTGGTTCCACAAGGAGGAGTATTTCATTGGTACCACAATAAGGATGCCACAGAAATGAAACCACCATCTTTCCACTTCAGTCTCTCGATACTCCTGAAACAACGGGAAATGAATGCTGCTACTCTCTTCTCCAGATGACAGATCCTCATTGCCAGGTGAAACTGAGCTGCTCTGACACGTGGGTAAGGAAAAGTTCATCTGTGTGGTGTGTGAAGGGGAATGGCCCCCACAGGCTCATATATATACTGGTTCTCAGTTATTGAACTGTTTGGGAAGGATTAGGAGGTGTGTCACTAGGAGTGGGCTCTGAAGTTTCAAAAGACTGGTACCATTCTCTCTCTCTCTCTCTCTCTCTCTCTCTCTCTCTCTCTCTCTCTCTCTCTCTCTGCCTTCTACTTGAGTATCAAGATGTAAGATCTTAGCTGTTCCTGCTACCATGCCTCTGCTCCAGTATCATGGACTCTAACCCTCTGAAAGTGTAAGCCCCAAATAAACACTTTCTTTTAGAAGTGGCCTTGATCATGAAGTTTTATCACAGGAATAGAAAGGTAAGACAATCAGCAATGCTGAAATTCTCTAGACTGCCTGTTAGTACCTCCTGTAATTATATTAAATAGATTATAAATCTCTAATTCAGGCAGGGCTGCATATGGTCCAGACTGTAGCTAGAGTTTTCCTGCCTTGCCCACAGTCAGGACAAATCTTTGTCACCCGCCAGTCCCACAGCCGCTCAGACCCGACCAAGTAAACACAGAGACTTACATTGCTTACAAACTGTATGGCCGTGGCAGGCTTCTTGCTAACTGTTCTTACAGCTTAAATTAATCCATTTACATAAATCTATACCTTGCCACGTGGCTCATGGCTTACCAGCATCTTCACATGCTGCTTGTCCTGGTGGCAGCTGGCAGTGACTCCTTCTGCCTTCCTGTTCTCTCTTTTGTCCTCTCTGTTAGTCCCGCCTATACTTCCTACCTAGCCACGGGCCAATCAGTGTTTTAATTATTGACCAATCAGAGCAACACATTTTCCATACAGAACATCCCACAGCACCAGATCTTCCAAGAACAAATGGGTGGGTCATTTCACTAGATGAAAAATCTTAACTAGCTGAAAGCCAAGGGGGTACTGAACTCATAGTAGAAGGTAGCTACAAATACCAGCTATAATTACATGAACAGTTTCAAAAATTAAGAAACTGATAATATTTCTTATTTTTATATTTATGGATATATAATGCATATATACATATGTCTGTATGTGGATCCCAGGCTAGAATTCACTACTCCTACTTGAGGACTAACCAAGTCTGGTCTTGAATTTGTGGTAATCCTCCTATCTAAGTCAAGGGTTAGAATTATAGATGTGAGTCATCATGCTTGACTAGACTATGTATTAAAGAGGTGCATATGAGTATAAAGCTATAAATTTGATAGGCTGAACTATATTTTTCAAAATTATTTTTCCTATGGTTATTATTAAGAAGGTACACAGGGAGGGTGTGTGTGTGTGTGTGTGTGTGTGTGTGTGTGTGTGTGTGTGTGTGTGTGTGTTTGGAGGTGGGACTGAGACAGAGATTTGTAAGCTGCCGAGTAGCACCATTCCCTGCATACAGATATGGATACTTCTCTTTCTCTTTTGGGTCATCTTGTGGTGTAAAGCAGTAGCTAGGATTGTTTTTGTTTTTTCTTCCCTTGGATTTTCCTTCAGCATCTCTGACAACTGGAGCAAGTGTGTGTTCACTGAAGTCCATGGTAAATCACATAGACTCCATAGGGCATGTGTACCACAGACAACAGAGGCAATGTGAAGGGAAATAGGTCCATTATTGTGGACTCCAGCTCTTGCTTCTGAGTTCTAGTAATCCTTGTTCTTTTCTGTTTTACACCTAACTTCTGTAACTGTCTGTTCTGGGTACTAAAGTCCCAGAATCAAATGCAAATTATTGTCCTTGTAAAGCCTGTTTAACTAGCTCTAGTCAAATACTAGCAAAGGAGAAAAAAAAATCCTGTTATCTATATGGATAAAGTAACTGGTCTTCATTCTCTCTGTTTTTTAGAGTTCTGAATTCAAGTGCTCACTACAACTTATTTGTAACCCCAAAATCAATACTACGACACTTCTGTAGTCATTTACATACATACACAGTTATAAAAATTTGAATTATCATTTACATGTTTCAACAAGACCCAACTCTGCCTCTTCTTGTTTCAGTTTTAATATTGTAAAGAAGTGGGCTCTTCATGGACTACTTAGTGTCAGATTTTTCACATTTTTGTGTTTTGACTTTACTATTTCAAATGACCCCCCAAATACAGCACTGTGGTACTGTCTAATTAATAATCCTTAGTTCAAAAAAATTGTGACACACCTTATGGAGAAATGTATGTGTAAGCCTTGCACAGGTGTACATTGCAGTGCTGCTGGGCATGAACCTGAATGTAATGAGTCAACAATACATGTGATATGATGTGTGTTTGAGTAGAAATACATACAAAAGAAGGGACTGGTGCTGACTGGTTGATGAAAAGATGACAAGGGGCTCACTGGAAACGACCTCTGCGTTTCCCTGGGAGTACTGAGTCCACATTTGCTAATTCTGTGCTATCTCGGCATAAAGCACCATGAGCAACAAAAATAGGATGTATAATATACATATACCAATATATCACAGCAGAAGTACCTCACAGTAGTTTTACTTCTCTTAAGGATTAAACCTTAACTGACAAACCAAAAAAAATTTAGCTGTAATAACAGTGAAGCTCAGTTAAAGTTTATGTGTTAATGATAATGATATTTAGCTGTAAACATCACTTTGTCACCTACAATTTGAACTACTCACCAAATGGTTACCTTCACACAATAAACACATTTACTTGGTGATTAGCTGTCATCTATGACTAAGACATGGAATAGTCTGTGTTCCAAATCCCTGCTCATTTTCCAGCATTCCCAACCACAGCAAGTCAGCTGTTGTCACTAGTTCTAACTCTGTGTTATCACAAAAATTACTGGAAGCTGCAAAAGCAAAAATCAGAAAGCAATGCCAAATGTAATACCACTTTCTTTACCTAGGCACTCAGACACAAACTCTTTAGGCAAGAAATGGATGCCATCCTAACACATCCCAGAGTCCAGCTGCTTCTGGACATATCCCTGTTTTCCTTCCTTGCTATCAATAGGCAGAACACACTTAACTTTACTATCTCTGAACATCTTCAAATCCATTTTGGCTCTGTTCCTTTAGAGCTGTTTCTTTTGTTTAGGGTAACACCTTGCTCACCTTCCCTCATACAAATCCTACGTTACACACAAGGTCCACCTAAAATCTTTGCTTGAAAGTAAAATTTTCTCTAGATTATATGATTGCTTGAAATATTATGGGATTGGTGCTCGGAGACAAACATATTTCTGCGGTTCTATATGGCTACTGAGTTCTTGTCTTTTAGGCACAGAATCATCTCTCTATGCTCCACCAGAAACTATCTATATTATTCTTGAAGTGTTTCACCCAGTCACCTTACTGAGTCTGTTGATAAGCATTTTAAGCTACTTAAACAAGACACATGTGATAGGAATAATTTGAGATAGAATAATATTTTATCCAAAAAGCAGAATTTGTATCTCTGCAGCATGCCTTTGTACTTCAGAGCATGCTCCCCACTTTCATTGACCACACACCTGCAGAGACGCGGGGACAGTCAGGCAGCATGGACTCCACCGACGTGTCCAGTGGCTCCGAGCTGGAGACCCAGTTGCAACAGTTCTGTCGTGGAACAGATACAATGTTGATTACATAGGATTGAAAGGAAAACCACATTTTCAGGTTAAAGAGATAAATTTGTCCTATAAAGCAAATCACTAGAAGGGTATTTATTTTCCATCGATTTTAAATTATTTTCTTACGTAAACAGTCACTAATTATTAATGACTGTGGAAAAAATTACCTTTTCTAATTCAGTTAATAATCTGTGTTGTAATTCAGTTAATAATCTGTGTTGATGCAAAGATACATAACCTGTAAAGTATAATCTGATATATTTTTAAGAAAAGTTAGATGTGAAGGAAAAAAAGCCTCAAATTTGGCCCATATTCCCTTTTAATTTTTACTCTGACCCACATGAAGGGTATATCAAAATTACACACAAATACAGCCTGGAGAATTGTAGCCATGTCTGAGGACACAAAACTTTAATATTAATGTTCACTCTCTCAGATAATGATGATTTGCAACTCAGATAAATGAAATAACATTCTATTTCTTCTATAAACTTAAATATATAGATCTAAATTCTGGTTTAAAAGATGTGATTATATGGTTTTAAAAATACTCAGAACACAGATATACACACAAAGAATTTCCACAGACAGATTCTATTTTAAAAGAAACCCTCCCATCAATCATGCTGGAGAAATGGGTGACTGCTCTCCTGGTAAACAGTGGGCATTGTGCATTTTAGATGCTTGCTGCCTTGGCTGTGCACCATGGAACCCGTTCTCACTGAGGACGGGTCCTTGACTGGTAGATCAAGTGTCTTATTGTATTTCCTTAATTCATTCTGTCTGGAAGAAGATGTCAGCTGTGTTGCAGTGAGGAGAAAATTTCAAAGGCCCCAGTCCCCACCAATAACGGCCGAGGAATGGCTTTTGAATAGATTTGTCAAGGCAACCCTACTGTTCTGGGACCAGAGAGAGCAGGGATAACATAAAGGAAGGGTTTGCTGTATGAGATTACAGACGGAAGCTCACAAAGCATGGCAGATTTTTGTAAGAAACAGTGGATCAATGAAACTATTGAACTGTGTTGGAAAAAAACCCATGAAAACAAACACATCTAGTAATGTTCTTAAATGCTTTCACTCCTTTTATATTTAAAACAGATAAAATATTAGTATTTTTCATGTATGACAAAAGCTTGATGGTTTGAAATGGATATATATTCTATAATGTGCATTTCTAATCTTAATTAGCAGCTGAATGTAAAATTACACAATGTAAGAGAAGTAGAAATTATAAAAGAAATAGGTTTTTAGAAGATATTTCATACATTTGAAATAAGCAAAATTAATATTACCATTGATAGACTACCACATCAGAGAATTCTAGATAATGCAGAAGATTAGCACACAATTAGCCAGCTTTTATATACAACGTGACACTTGCTTGTAAGAAGTAAGTATTCTCTAAAGCAGTGTCAAGATATGTAAATGGATGATTTGTTTTATCATTCATCACAGCCCCTAATAAATTCAAAAATCATGACTTCTATAGGTACTAAAAATAGGCTCCCAATGATACAGGGAGATAGCTTCAATGAAGAATGACTTTCTCTTTCTCTCCCCTTTTCTTAAACAATTCAGTCTTTTCAATGACAGCAATTAGCACTACCAACAGACAGGCAGCGATTAGGTATATATTTTAATTATTATTCATCTTACTAGTGCCTCCAAATCTGATGAAAGTTGGCTATTACCCAGGTGATATGCCAGTCTTAATACTGATCACCTGCATCTCATACACGCAGAACTGTGCCTTACACAATTTTCTAGTATTAATAAAAGTGACTGCACATTATAATCTGTAGATAATTAGTCATTTTTTAAACTCACTTTGACTTTTAAAAGCTGAACCAAATGAACTTTTTGTCCATTTTAAAAGAAAACAGATCACCTTTGGCTCAAATACTGAAACAAAAATACAGGCTACCATTTTACGATTCTGAAATTTTAGTTCCCTCTCAGCACATGTTGAAAGCTTTCAGCTTTCCTGAAAAATCAGGGACAAGTGAAGTGGCCTGTGGTTAACAGTGGAGATGCCAGATGTCTTGTGTAACAAGCACCTACACTGGATTGGAAAGGATGGAAACCAAGCTGGAAGGGTGTGCATGCATGCGTGCGTGCGTGTGATTCTTCAAGTGGCATTTTAGTTCCACTAGGGAAAGTATAGAGAAAGCAGGTTAAAAACGTTTGCTATATAAAAAAGTGAAATAAAATGCCCCAGCTTTGACATATGTAAACAAAGGTGTACAGAGATTATAATGGAATTTACCTGCTGAACCCCATCGTCTCACAAATACCTCCCTGAGATGTGTTTCTATGGTTTAAAAACCAAATTTCTTTCCAAAGTGTTCTACTGTTCATTTCTCCCTCTCCTTAATTCCCCAACTTCATAGACGATGAGGTATCCTGGTGGCCACAGACTAGGAAAATTACCTGAATTTCAGACATAGTAACGTTATTAGCCTCCAAGGTCTTATTCTCTGATGCAGAGAGTAGTCAAGAAGGGGAGCCAGAGCACAGCACCCCCAGTGCCGCACTGGAGACCCATGCAGCACCCTAAGTAAAGCCAGGAGTCCTTGACCAGAGGCAAGATATTGGAATGGATCACTTAACTAGCATTTCTGTGTCCCCAGGAAAAATAAAGGCAATATAATGAATGTTTGCTAAAGTTAAGTGTTTCAATGTAAAAGGTTTCTTATGCCGAGATTATGACCTTGCAGATTTTTGTGGTTATAAATTTCCCTTTGTAAAATCTATACCTTGGGGACCAGTCACAGCAACGAGAAGTGTCTAATGGCTACAGTACTGAGTGACATGCTTTGACTTGTGCCAAGGTGGATGACATTTGAGTAGACATGGAATTAAGTTTTTTTTTTATCTTGTTTAGTTTTTAATTTCATTTCTTGTACGTGTGTGTGTGTGTGTGTGTGTGTGTGTGTGTGTGTGTGCGCGCGCGCATGTGCGTGTGTCCACATGTTCTCGCTTTCCACTGTGGAGTCTGCTGATTGAAGTCAGTTTGTTATGTCTGTGCAGTAGGCGCTTTTATCCACGGATCCATCTTGTCATGATATGGATTTTGAAGTTAAAATAAATTAATGTGTGTATGTATATGCCATGTGTGTGCAGGTTTCCACAGATGCCAGAAGGCGGCACCAGATATACTGGATGAAGCCGGAACTTGAGCTGGTTGTGAGCGGCTTTTAATGGCTGAGTCATCTCTCCATCCCAATACAGAGGTGCAGGAGAAGAGGGCACATACAGGAAGACTTGGGTGTGTGTGTGTGACTATGATCAAAATATATTGTGTGAAATTCTCAAATAGTTAATAAGATGTGATTAAAAGATTGTAAAATTTGGTATGTTCTATCTAAAAAGAAAAACAATGAGAGCTAACTCTGTGCAAGATAGTAGAGAAGCTTGCTTCCCTGGTCCAGGCAGGCTTTCACTCGTGTTTATTACACCTGCATGCACTGTAAATAATCATGGCCTTAAAGGCTGATCTTTAAAGTTCTTGTGCCTTAAACATGATTGTGTATCATTGACCAAGTTATGTTTCTAGGGCCTAGTGGTGTGGTTTGAAATAATACAGCCTCCCAAAGGGAGTGGCATTATTCAGAGGTGTGGCCCTGTTGGTGTGTCACTGTGGGGTAGACTTTGAGGTCTCCTATGCTAAAGCTACTCCTAGTACCTCAGACCACTTACTGTTAATATAGGGCTCTCAGCTCCTTCTCCAGCACCATGTCTGTCTGTACCACATGCTCCCCACAATGATGATAATGACTAAACCTCTGAAACTGTAAGGCTCCACCTCAATTAAATGTTTTCCTTTATAAGAGTTACCATGGTCATGGTGTCTCCTCACAACAACAGAAACCCTAACTAAGACAGGCCTACACTCAGAGTCGAAGGGTATCAGGAAGGGTCCATGATCATTGTGTAGAACTGTATTTCTGGCTTGGCTACAGACTTTCGGGTCAGGGGCATGTCGCACACTCATCATCAACAGTACGAGGACTTCACTAGAGAAGTTCCATTAAGGGCCCCTCCAGGCACTTTTGACCCTTCCTCACGGCTTAGCATCCACACTTGGTCTTTCATCTGAGAAAGGTTTTGTTCAAGGGATTGCTAAAGTAGTCTTCTTTGATCCTTCTTTAAGAGAAAATGGTATTTTAAAATTAAATAAAATGCAAGTATAATTTTTAGTCTTTTGTTTGCTAAATTGATAGGTTTGAAATATTTAAGAGCCTTATAGTAAAACTGCTGAATATAAACAACGCTATCACATTCATTTGTGGCCTATGAAATCACCGGAGCCACGGCTTCAGCAGTCTCTGCTGTAGGACTGAGGAAGCAATTGCTGGCACTGTCTTACTTCCAAATGTAAGGCAGCCTTTGGTAAGATGGTTAATCAACAGGAAAAACACAGGGGCATCTCTTCCATAGCTAGACATGTTTGTTAGGAGCAAGGATATTTTCCAAATATTTTAACCTTTTTGTGTGTGGGTTTATGTTAAGAACGTGTACGTGCGTGTGTGTGCATGTTTCCATGCACGTGTGTGTGTGTGTGTGTGTGTGTGTGTGTGTGTGTGTGTGTGTGTGTGAGCATTTGTCACTCAAATTGACTTTCATAAAGAACTTCTAATGGGAAAAGGATGCACAGGAGTAAGGACTATAGCTGAGAGATTACTGACGTATATGACCACTACTGATATAGTGCCGGGAGGCTAATGTCAAATTCTTATAATATCAGCAAGGTAAATATAAACAGAACGGAATTTTCAGCTGGATGTCTGTAATAGGATCAATGGACTGAATAACAAACTGAAGATTTTGCAAAGAGACATGGGCCACTTTGGGTAGATCCTTGTTAGTTTTCAGACTCAGCAGGGACATGCAGTAAGCAGCTTCCCTAGATGGAGGCGGGACCATGGCCAGCTCAAGCATCTCTAACAATCTCCATTCAGCTTTTTACTGCTTCTACCCCAACTGGCAGTATTGAGCCAATCAATTTCATTGTGGCACATCCTGATCACATTTCCAGAAGGAAAGGACAAGAGCAATTACATGAAACTTCTTTCTGGTAATTAAGTAGCTACAATACTACACAGCCAGAAAAATTAAACAGTAGGGAATATGAATCATAACATCAAGCCCCCTTTCAGCTAAAAGTCTAATGCATACTGTATACATACATAATATCCTATTCAGTAGTGGGCAGAATGGATGCTTTCAAAAAGTTTTGTTCTTCTAAAACATTTCTTTTATTATTCTAACTGTATCTAGACTTTTTATTCTATCTCAATGTTCTGTCTCTAGAGAATGTAGGGTGGGAGGCAATGTAAGTTGGTGGGGACTCCAGACACAAAGGCTCATGTCCATTCATCTCAGCACTGAACAGAACCATGCCTCACCTCTCTCATCCATTCTCGGATGGTTTTGCCAGCTTCTTGATGCCACACATTGTGAACAGAGTCTGTCAATGCCACAGCAGTCACCTTACTTTTTACATCTGCTTCTCGTTGAATCATCTGTTTTAAAAAAGAAAAATAAAACATAGACTCTAATTTTTCTTCCTGATAGAGGCTGCTTAGTCATAGACAATACTATATTAAAAATAAAAAGAGACATGCATCTTTGGCTCAAAGTTACTCTTTTCTATTTGAATACATATCCTATTCTTGTCCATGGATATGAAAAGGCCAACATTTTCTTTCAAAAAGCTAATACCACTTAAGTCTTGGAAGGACATAACTCTATTATTTTCCATGTGGCTTGACAATTCAAGGATTAAAGGGATCACAGGGGATCCCTGAGGGTTTCTTTCATCAATTTCTTCCATCACTTCCTCCTTCAGGGCTTCAGGGAAGCCGGCACCTGGGGCTCCCTCTCCTCATTTTCAAGCGGTGGCACTGGTGAAGAAGGTGGCTTGTTTTAGTTCTCCAATTGAACTGGCCTCTCTTGACCACAGCCCTGCAATTCCTGGTGATCTCGACACTCCCCCCAAAACTATTCTCTTTCAGTCTATTGATACTATTTTGCTTTCTGATATGTTTTGTTATGTTGGCAAACTATTATATTTTTAACTTCTACCTACACAATGTTATATTTATAAAATTTACTATCTTCTGGAAAGAAGGAATTTGTCTGGCTTGAGACACTACTTCATCAGTGGCAGGCCAAATAAGAAAATGGAAAAGTAAAAATTGTATATCAAATGAAGCAAAAGCTATTTCAATCTGTGAATACTGGACTGCCTGATTTGGCATATTAAAACGTAAGAAAACATAACAAAAACTAAAGCCAGTGCTCTGTCGCAATGCTGTGCTGTCCACTGGTGTCCCCACACTGACGAAAAAGGGCAGTTACTGCTTCTCCATCATTTGCTGCTAATGTGCATGAACTGTCCATCAAAAACATAATAGTGTACTTTAACAAAACAGAGAACTGTGAACAGTAAAGAAAGCTCACGCAGAGAACACTGTAAGCTACAAGTCCAGACAGAAGACTCTCTCCCATATTCTGAACTAATCATCTCAAAATCAATCCTCCCTCATATTAAACTCTGCATTTCATACCTATTAATGAAAATTACATAAAAGCATCTTTACCTCAGCAGCATTTTTGCACCTAAAACTTTTGTATTTTGGTGTGCCTATATTTTCTATAACAACAAAATACTAAAATTAATATTCATATGCAATACCATAGTCTTACAGAAAAACACCTCCTGAATTAGCAGTGTCTTAAAGGCTTAAATCATATAACAATCCAGTTAAATACTTCATTATTAGTTACTAACGAGTATGCTACCTTCTTTAATTTTTCACTGGATCACTATTGGCACTAGAATATAAAACAGTGCATCAACATCAGATAATTAAAAAAAATGACACAATAGTGAATACATCTGGCTAAGGATGAAATTTTATGTCCTTACTTTCATTTCCTAAACATGAAAACACAAAGAGAGCTAAAGCATTTGATAAGGTCACATTTAAGAATACCCTTTTCTGGTATGCTCAAAATTTTTGACCTGGGTTTCATTGTGGTTGTTGCTACCATATGCAGATTTACTTAAGGTATTATCTGAAGACCCTAAATCTCGACAGCCATTTGTAAGATGAAATAAAACTAAGCAATGAACAGGATAAGGACTCAGTGCAAACGCTAAATGTCTGTGGGTTGAAATTCTACAAACTGGAATGATGCAGTCGTTAGATGAGTGACCCGAGACCATCCATCAGGCCGACACTTCACACACCTGACTTGCTCACGTGCCACCCTCCATTTCATCATGGTACAGCCCAAACGACACAGCCATACAGGTCTGTAAAACTCTGCTTTGCAGTTTAAAAATCAATATGATATTCACATTTAGAAATGTAGAATGGTCAAATTCCTGAAGATCTTAAAGAGAAATTCACATATGAACCCTAAGTCAAAGAATCTCAATATTTGATTCTTTAGGCGGTATCTAATTGGTCTATTTCCTTCGTCTCAACAAGGCTGCAACCCAACTCCGCAGTGATGGGGCTCCACGTGACTGCACTTGTGTCCAAAGGCAGCACTTCGTCAGCACTGCTGGCCGGCTTCAGTCTCCCTCCCCTTCAGCCGCGCCCCCTTCAGCCGCCCACCCCACTTCAGTGCCCAACGGTGTGAGCTGGGAAAACACTGAAGTAGAGTGGAGACAACTTTCTAGGAGACTACATCAGAGACGTTTAAGAGCTCACAGATCTTAGGAAGAATATAGTAAAACAAAGGATGGGTGGAGCACAGCTGGACAGGAAAACAAATTATAGGTCATCATTTATAACACAGTAATGTGTTGGGAAGTCCAGAAATCTGAAAAGGAAACAAACATATCACTGAAGTTCTACATGCCCATCTAAGATAGAAATACTGGTATTTAATTAAAATCCATACATGTGTACACAGTAATTTTATTTTCATATGAGTACTTTTCTGGGGAGTGATCCTTAGCTTCCATGAGATTCTCAATGGGTCTGTGAGTCTCTAAAAATGGCAAGGCTCTGCAATCACAGTCTCCACATATTCTTGAATGAACTATGGGGTACTTACTAAGTGATCCCCTAGGACAATCACACTTAAGATCCATTTAACATCTATAACCAGTCTTTCGGAAAGAAACAATGCTATCCATTTCAGGTTGTATCAACTTCACTGAACAGAAGTGATAACGAGTATGATAATTCATGTAGTTAACATCCTAAAGCTCCATGGCTTAGTTCTTACGCACTGCCATGTCCTTACATAGCCCCAGAGAGTAACTGTCAGGGCGGAGAGGGAGCACAGAAACAACAGATCGTGGACAGTGGAAAGCTGAGCTATGAAGGCAGGCTTAGCTAATCCTGCCAGGAGTGGTCTCTGCAGCAGAGCAGTCCCAGCCACAAACACCTGAGGAGAGAAAGCCACGGCGGACATTTTCTGCACATACTATCAACATTTCACTCAGACTGGAGGAAGGCTTTGCCGCCCCTCTATGCTTCATGCAGAGGGCAGGCTTTGCTGATCTCTAATGGGTCTGAGGAACATGTCAACAACACACATCCATTCATGAGTTCACACATTCAAGGCTTCCTCTACTCCCTACAATGAATGGTAAACTTACAATCTGTATTTTTATGTGTATAATATTTATATCTGAAAATTATCCAATAAATTTTAAAGCAAATAATATATTAATTAGTAAGGATTGTTGATTTATTTCCCATTTTATTCATAAATACTACTTAAGTTTATGTTAAACATGCTGTTTCACCTAAAATGATAATGAAACAGTTTGAGACCTGTTAAGAAAATGGTCACAGCAACAACCCACAACTCCAGAGAAGCTAGCTAAAAAGAAAAATCCAAAGAGGGAACCATGGAGCACCCGGGAAAGGGTAAACAGATGAGATCTCCATGAGTAAACTGGGGGTAAGAGGTGGGCAATGGAGAGTAGGGGGTGGGGGATGAGAACATAAGGGAATGGGATGGTCAAGCTGGAACAGGAATGGAGGGGGAGAGCAATGAGAGAGATACCATGATAGAGGGAGACATTATGGGGATAGAGAGAAACCCGGTGCTAGGGAAGTTGCCAGGAATCCCCAAGGATGACCACAGCGTGGACTAGAAATAGTGGAGAGGGTGCCTGAACTGAATGGCTTACCCCAGAGATCAGATCAGTGAATACCTTAACTGTCATTACAGAGCTTTTCTGCAATGACTGATGGAGGCAGATGCAGAGATTCATAACCAAACACCAGGCAGAGCTCCAGGAGTCCAGCCAAAGACAGAGAAGAGGTATTCTATGAGCAAGAGCAACAAGATCATGATGGGGAAACATGCAGAGATAACCAAATCAAATTAGTAGGAACTGATGAAAGTTGGATCAATGGCTGTGGAGCCTGCATGGGACTGGACTAGGCCTTCTGCATGGCGAAATAGTTGTGTAGCTTGATTTGCTTGGGGGGGGGGGGAGCTGGCAGAAGGATCACAATACATCCCTGGTACATGAGCAGACATTTTGGAGCCCACTACCTATGATGGGACACCTCTTGCAGCCTTGAAGCAGGGGCAAGGGCTTGGACTTGCCTCTACTGGATGTGCCTCCCCATGGGAGGCCTTGCTTTCTTCTGTGTGTGTGGGGAGGGGGTGAGTTGAGAGGGGGAGGCTCAGGAGCAGGAGGAGGGAAGACGGAGATATTTGATTGGTGTGTAAAATGAATGAAAAAAATTTCTTAATAAAAAGAAGAAAATGGTCACAGAACTCATAGGTATTAAGACAAGACAACTGTGGCTTGATAGAAGATGTGCACTGTTGGATGCATACATCCACACACATATACAAATACATATATGTGTGAATGCATAGATATCACAATGGATACTTTTTAGCAAATTATGAGGTTATTGTCATAAATAATTAATTAACTCTTCAACAGCATTTGGGGTTTAAAAAATAATTTTAAAAAATGACTCCAAATAAGTAAGGAATTTTGAAAAACCAACAAACATGCCAAGAACCAGTTTCAATTTAAAAAAAAACCCTCAAAATCAAGAGTGTTTAAAATTTATTTACAGTTCTGAACTAAATAGTGTATAGATTAAAAGGAAATTATTTTTTATAAATTAAATTGATGTTAGTGTATGAGGTATTTTATCCTATCACTTGATTTTCCCCTTCTTAATTCTACCCAGTAATCTCCTTATATTTCTTTCAATTCAGGTTCAATATAAATTAATCTGCTTTTAGATTCACTATTTTGTGTAGATGTAATTCTAAACGGTCTTATTAGATAAGAAACACAGAGCCAAATGCAGAGTTAAAGCCCAAAGATCAGAGAGCAGTAGCCAAGAGCTGAGACCACCTTCATACCCCTCGCTGCAGCTGCCGTCCTTCCCCCTGAGCAAGAGACCCACTTCCTGTGTGTATTTTCATTGTCTTTCTGTTCTGCTTTCTCATTGGTTGTGAACCCAACCACGTACTTTCTCGTCACTGCCTGTCTATACAGACCTCCAGGTCTCTA